GGCGATACCATGTACAACAAAATAGCATCATAAAAATGAAATTATTTAAAGTAATATTCAAATCACGCAGTCATCATTGATTTAGTTTCCAATTATACAGAGGTAATTGTATTAACGAACTGCCTCATTCAGTTTGGTGGGAAAAAAATTGAAAGTTTTAATGTCCTGGCATCTGCAGATAATAAATGATGTGATCTGTGCTCCTAACTCAACTAGAATCCTAATTCTTGTTTTACCCAGGGCATACTACAATATCGGTATGTCTGATAAAAGATACTTCCACGACCTTCTGGAGCCAAGACAATTCTGGAATAATTCTAGAATAGAATAACGGTTCTAGAATTAAATATTGAAATAAGCTAAAATAGATCAAGGAACTTGTTCCAGAATTAATGACACCATATATATAGCAATTTAAAATCCAAGTTAAATTCCGTGACTAGAAATGTTTGCAACCTGCATTGCACTGAATATACTGGGAATAGTTTTAAAAGACTGAGTTTTGAGACTTCAACTGCTGAATCCAGACTAACTACAAATAAACATACAGAGTCTAAAGTGCATCATGTGCTTTGGAGTCGGAACCCCATGTCTGACATGCTGTTGAACTCCCCACCATCCTCTAAGTGTTGGAATACATTTATGCCATAGGTGAGCTGACCCAGCTCCTCCCTCCCTATCTTTCCCTTTAAATTCTCAAGTGTTCCCAGGAGCTCAGAGAGCCTAGACATTTCTCAAATGCATACTATAATTGTTCATGGATTTTTTGTTGCGCCTTCTACCCCCCAAAAAATCCAGAAAGTGTGAAAGCGAGAATAATATGGAGGTCTCTGACTTTCATTTTCTGATGCAAGAGACAGATAACACAAACATTGGGTGGAATATCTGTCCTATCAAAGTATTTTAGTATACTAGCAGTATCCATAGAAATAGAGTTAATAACTCAAATAGTGTTTAATCTATGATAAATTCATAATCTCTTCTAGGAAAGACCTTAACCTCTAACATCGTTCGTACGTCCTCTGCTATAACAAAAGCATTTGCTAAATAGGGGAAACACCAAGTTATTTTCTGTTCTGATTTTCAAAGAGAAAGGGAGAAGCTGGTTGCTTTATTGCCACTGTTTTCCCTCGTCTTTTCTCTTTTTTTTTTAGATTTTCCTCCTGATAGCCACATGATGTGTGAAAATAATGTTGTTTACTCCTTCAGCCTTTTGTCATGCGCCATATATTCTGCTAACCCAGCAAGCAGTCCTTACTTACCATGTTTAAAATATAAGCAACCTGCTGACTCCATTCACACTGTTCTGCAAGAGCTGCTCTTGGAGCAGCCGCATGCACAGGATGCTCTGCTTCTTGTCCGCAGGGCTGTTATGCAGGCAGCCTGTGGCTATCAGCAACCCTCAGTGCTGAGCCTGTCCTGATGTATCATCTGGTGGGATGCTAACTTCCAAATGTGCTCACGGTTGTGAAGATGGGCATAGGCAGGAGGGCAGACGCCAGTGCTGCGTAGGAATGCTCATGCGGCCTCACTGCTAGCTAGGCAGCAGAGGTAATACCTTGAAGAAATTGCACAGACTGGCTTCCAGTGTTGATGTGTCCTCTATGCCTCAGTATGAAGGCAACAGTCAGAAATGCAGAAACTCTGGAGTCACGATGTTTCTGTTGGTATTTTGCCTGGTTCTTCTTTTTTTCCTTTCTAGCTTAACTTGCATCTCTTTCTCCTCCCCTAAATAT